CTCGAGAGCGGAGAGGGTAATCACAGCGCCGGAGAAGACCGAGAAGGCTCTCCTCTCTCGCACGCCTCCGGCACTTTTCTCCTGGCTTAATCGTTATGGAAAGTCCGAGGATAATATGGGACGTCGGTCTGCGCCGCAGAATCTCGCAGGATCGCCGTGTACACGGCATTCTCTGCGAAACCAGGCGGGGGGAAGAACAAACGCGCGAGGAACTCCGATCCCGGTCCGCCATTCAGGTGAAACTCCGCCATCTGGCCGCGTGCGCCCGCCGATTTTGTATAGAAACCGAGAACACGATTGTTACGCCATTTGCATGTTCGCGGGTGTCAATGCGGCCGGGGACGTCTCGCGGCGTCCGAGCGTCTTCGATCCTGCGATCGGAAATCTTGTCTCGTTTCGATCTGAGACGATGGATCGAAGACTGCGGGATTTCGCGTAATCCGGGCACCGTTTCTGCGTCAACCGTCCTCGATCCTTTTCGGATACTTTTCGATTTTAACACTTCCACGACCGCGCTAGAAACCTCAAAATTTGTCGTAAAATTAAAATATTTCATTCGATTATAACAAAAATTATGAAGCAAGCTTATATGTGGTTGATGATTACTTCTCTCTCTCTCTCTCTCTCTCTCTCTCTCTCTCTCTCTCTCTTCAGCATTCGTACCTCTTGCAAATCTTAATGAAATTAAGCGATCATTTTTAATTTTTCATTAATCATCCGTTCGGTCGTCAATCGACTGAATTTAAAACGGGGTGATCTCCCCGTTCGGTTGGCTAAGGGTGAAGATCTGTTTGACCGCGTTGCGCGCTGCTTGACAATCGATCGTTTACTTTTTATATGTTTGTATGTTTCTTCTCGATAACAATTGTTCAATAGCTACGTGAAATGAGTAGGTTTGAATCGATTTTGACATTTTCTTTTTTTAAGTTTTGGTACGTTTGACACCGTTTGAGTAGACTTTGCACACGAATTGACGCCTGCGAGCAGTTTTAAAGATTGCCATTTAGCATTGCTCATTTATCAAAGTACGTTTTATATCGTGAAATCGGTTTATATTTAAACAGTTGTTGAAAATCATATTATATTATTATATCATATTATATTATTCAATTATTTATATACTATTATATTATTATATCATATTATATTATTTATTTAATTATTTATACTATTATATTATATTACTATATTATTATATCATATTATATTATATTACTATATTATATACAATATAAAACTCTTTCGAAATTAATTATTTAAACTACTATATTACATTATTATATTATTATATTATATACGATATAAAAATCTTAATATAACCTTTACCATAATTTCGAAGTTAAAACAGCCTCGAGTGCAAAAGATCAAAATACCGATAACTGATAACAGACGCGATTTTGTATGATTTTTCGACAGTCATCCGGAAGTCCTGCATAACAATTGTGCAGCGACGTACACGAAATGCCTCGATTCGAACCGATTTTAGCATGTTCGACACAGTTTCAGACGGATGCAGGTGTCAATAACCGGCGCGATTTTTTTATGATGCGTCCGACACTATTTCCAGAACTGGTGGAGAACAGTTGTTCAAATCGAACTGTACCAATTTCGAGCGGTTCGGCACAGTTCGAGAACGGACGATAACGGACGCACGCTTCTGCGCGCTGCATATTCGACATGAAAAAAAACCGTGGAATCCGCGGGGAGTCCCGGTGTTTGGCCAGGTGTACGCCGCGAACAGTAATCGAGACTGGTATTACGTGTATCGTTTAATCGGCGGATAACGCCGAAGCGTGCGCTACTACGGAGTCAGTTAGCGCGAGCGTATTACACAGGTGCACCGCAGAATCTCGTTGGAACAGGTCGGCTGGTAGCCCACATTGCCGAAGCAAGGTGCGCGCCGAGAATGGAGGGGGCCGCGACGCCGCGGCGGCGAATCGCCTCGGAAATAACCGAGATTATTTTTTCCCATCTGCCCGTTCAGAAAATTCTGTTTGCGAACGGTTCGCGGTTCTCCTTGAAACTTGGCTATTCTTTATATTTCACCGGCATCGTGGTGGATCTTTCGCGGTTGGAAATTATCTGCGAAATTTTGCGGGCTTCGGGTTTCGGGCTTCGGATACGAAGATCCTGCAGTTTTGAGATTTTTCAAGGTTTTGAGATTGCAAGATATTGTAATTTTGAGGATTCAGGATTCTGAGATTTCGAGATTCCGAGATTTTGGAATTAGAGGGATTGAAAGACTTTGTAATTTTGAGATTCTGAGAATTTGAAATTTCGGGATTGCTGGATTCTGGGCTTTTGAGATTTCAGGATCTTGCAATTTCGAGATTTCAGGACTCTGCAATTTCGAGATTTCAAGATTCTGCAATTTAGAGATTTCAAGATTCTGCAATTTTGAGATTCCGAGATTTTTTGCAATTACACAGATCGCAAGACTTTGTAATTATGAGATTCTAAGATTTGGCAATTTTAAGATTCCAAGATTCTGCGATTTTGAGAATTCAAAATTTTGCGATTACAGGGATTGCAAAAATCTACAATTTCGGGAGTCCAAGATTCTGCAATTTCGAGATTTCAAGACTCTGCAATTTCGAGATTTCAAGACTCTGCGATTTTTAGATTCCGAGATTTTACGATTACACCGATCGCAAGACCTTGTAATTTTGAGATTCTAAGAATCTACAATTTTAAGATTCTAAGATTTTGCAACTTTGAGAACTCAAAATTTTGCGATTACAGGGATTGCAAAAATCTACAATTTCGGGAGTCCAAGATTCTGCAATTTCGAGATTTCAAGACTCTGCGATTTTTAGATTCCGAGATTTTACGATTACACCGATCGCAAGACCTTGTAATTTTGAGATTCTAAGAATCTACAATTTTAAGATTGCAAGATTTTGCAACTTTGAGAACTCAAAATTTTGCGATTACAGAGATTGCAAGAATCTACAATTTCGAGAGTCCAAGATTCTGCAATTTCGAGATTCCAAGATTCTGCGATTACAGAGGTTGCAAGTATCTACAATGTTAAAAGTCCAAATTTTTACAATTTCGAGATTCCAAGATTCTGCAATTTTAAGACTTCGATATCCTGCATTTACAGAGACTGTGCAAGATTCTACGGTCACCGTTCTCTTTCCTCGACTTTCAAGGTTCCCAGAGTAATATCGAGACTGCAATTTTTGTGGCCTTTCGAATCGCGCGCGTCTGTCAAATCTACGTACTTTTTGCCTTGTGTCAAGGTTCCGATGATCTACAATCTGCGGAATACAACACTTTGCTGCCAATTTTGTAGCAGAACTAATTCCAAGATTCTGTTATCTGCACCCAGTCGAAAAGCAAGTATCGTGGCTCATCTGAAAGATTTTCGATAACTCTTATAATTATTATCAATTGTTATAAAAAATACTTTTTGACACACTCGTGACGCGTTTTTAATTTTCCGGTAATTTCTTTATGCATCGATTATGAAAAAGTTTCCCGAATTAATATTTCACTCGTTCTACAAAACGTTACAAGTGCGATACATAAATATGAAATACACATTCAGAAAGTAAAAAATAGTTTGTAAAATTATACTTAAAAACAATTTCCTTCTCCACGAAAAATATCGACGAGAATTAATCAAAAATTACCGCTCCTCAAATGCAAAATATATTTAATCATCCCCAGTGAAAAATAACTTAACTTTGAGATCAAAATAAATCAAAAATATACATTTAGAAAGTAAAACATAGTTTACAAAATTATACTAAAGCAATTTCCTTCTCCACGAAAAATATCGACGAAAATTAATAAAAAATTGCCGCTCCTCAAATGCAAAACATATTTAATCATTCCCAGTGAAAAATAACTTAACTTTGAGATCAAAATAAATCAAAAATATACATTCTGAAAGTAAAACATAGTTTATAAAATTATACTAAAGCAATTTCCTTCTCCACGAAAAATATCGACGGGAATTAATCAAAAATTACCGCTCCTCAAATGCAAAATATATTTAATCATCCCCAGTGAAAAATAACTTAACTTTGAGATCAAAATAAATCAAAAATATACATTCAGAAAGTAAAACATAGTTTATAAAGTTATACTACAGAGCAATTTCCTTCTCCACGAAAAATATCGACGAAAATTAATCAAAAACTACCGCTCCTCAAATGCAAAACATATTTAATCATCCCCAGTGAAAAACGACTCTGAAATATTTTTGCTGAAAATTTCATTGCAGCATCTCCGAAGGTTCAAAGGCTACAAAAAAGCATCCCTGAAATTCTCGATAAGGCCCAGAAGAGTGCGTCGCCTCGACGCACCTGCCGCCACCTCGGACAATCCCAAGAAGAGCCGCAGCGTGTTGCGAATCGACGCAACAGAGAAAGAGATCCTCTCTCGCATTGTCAAACCCAGTTACCCACATTCCGCGGTATCCAGATCGAAAGAAACCCGCGAACCACGGTATGCCGCAGCTCGTCGAGCATCCACCATCAATTTCAGTCACTTTCAATGACACCGTGGCTCGCGCGGGCTCTCTCGGCGAACGAGCGTGCTCGCTCGCGCGCGGATATTCGATTCGCGTGACCAAATTCGAGGGATACTCGATTCGTACGGGCACGGAATCGAATGGGCATCGAGCGGAGCGCGGGGCGCGAGCGGATGGACGAAGGAGGTTGAAGCGAATGGGGGACGGCCGCGCACGGAGCGCGAGGAAGAGAGAGAGAGAGAGAGAGACGAAGAGAGACAAAGAGAGAGGAAGAGAGAGAGACAGAGAGGGAGAGAGAGAGGAAGAGAGAGAGGAAGAGGGAGAGAGAGAGAGGAAGAGAGAGAGGAAGAGGGAGAGACAGGGAGAGACAGAGGGCGCGAGGAGGAGAGAGAAGCGCGGCGCGAAGGAGAGAGGGAGAGGCCGCGAGCAGGCGGGATAGAGAGGCGGTGAAAGGTGGAGAGAGACAGGGCACGGTGTTTGTAATCAAAGGGGCGATCCGCGGCGCGGCGTGGAAGAAAGTCAGCCTACTGGCGAGCCAGTCCGGCACGGCGCGTTGTCCCGAATGCACGTCGAACCATCGATTTCCGCGTGTGCTGGCCACGTGACTGTGCTCGATCGCCACGCACTTCGTAGCCCCGTGTCGGTTCCGTGTCGTCGCCTCGCGATCCTCGGCCCCCGATAGACTCCCAGCTCCGGCCCCGCTCCGGTCCCGCTCCGGTCCCGCGCCCGATTCCCCACCGAAAAACCGCGACGTCCGAGCTTTTCCGCAGTTGGATCGCGGTGATCGCGGCACCCAGGCCGCCCGAGAGGCTTTAACGGTACCCGTAGGTGCCCCGTAGGTGCCCCGTAGGTGCCCGTAGGTGCCCCGTAGGTGCGCGGACGTCCAGCCGCGACAACCTGGGAGGACCGAGAGTAATCGGCGTCACGTGGGCAGAGCGGACCACCGCTGGGATACGTGCCCACCGGGACGCAGGAGAAAGACCGGTCCCCGTGCGCTCTTCCGGACGATGAAAACGAGTGGCGAATGAATGGTAAGTACCGGTAATCGGCGTGGGAAGTGGCGCGGGAAGTTTCCCGGACCTCGTCGGGGACCAAGGGACCGCGAACGGTTTCCTGGAGAACCGGCCGACACGGATTTTAGAATCTCCGGTCTAGAAGCTGTTTCGCACACGGAGGATCGGTTTGCAAGGCGCGGAATGTATACGTGTATCGACAGGTGGAGCAGGTGAATCGCGTGGTCGGGTTCGGGTCGGGGCGAGGTCGGATTCTGCGAGAGGATAAATAATAGGGTGGCGAAGCCGGTTAGTGTGGTCAATTGCTCTGTGGCTTTGATTTGTTTCGGGCTGAAATAGATAGAGATAGAGATAAATAGAAATAGACTTTTGAAACAGTTGATCGATTGCGAATACTTTTATTTTCTTCTTGTGTAATACGGAATTTGGAGAATATACGTTTTTTTTGGAAGGTGTTCGAAATGCTGCTTTTATATAAATTTACTAAATTTATGTAAATTACTTATGTAAGTACTATTTCATAAGCGGTTTGCGTGGCAAATTTTGTATTACTTGAGAAGATAGGAGTATTCATGGTCTATTTATTGTTCGAAATGATATTTTTATATGTAATTACTATTTCATAAGTGGTTTGCGTGGCAAATTTTGTATCACTTGAGAAAATAGGAATATTTATGGTCTATTTATTGTTCGAAATGCTATTTTTATATGCAATTACTATTTCATAAGTGGTTTGCGTGGCGAATTTTGTATTACTTGAGAAGATAGAAATATTTATGGTCTATTTGTTGTTTGGAAAAAGGTTTGTTTCGCAAATTCTGTAGCACGTCAGAAGACAGAAATATTTATAGTCTATCAACTATATATGAAATATATTTCAAATGCTATTTTCATATGTATCTACTATTTGAAAATAAAAGTTTATCTAACAAATTCCGAGGAAGAGTAAAAATATTTATAATCACTGTGTTACATGAAATATATTTCAAATGTATATATTTATATATTTCACATGTGACTACTATTTGAAAAAGAAAGTTTATCCGCCAAATTTTGCATTACTTTTGTAGAAGATAAAAATATTTATAATCACTTTGCTATTTCAAATATTATAATAATGATATAATAATATATATAATATAATATATTCGAAACGCTACTTCCACAGATAAAGATATTTGTATTCCATTCATTGTATCAAATAATCGATTTCTCCCAGCCCTGATTTACGGGCATAATTAGTTCTGTATCCATCGAATAACAGACACTGCATCGTTTAATATGAAAAATTCAATATGTCTTACTCGACGAGTTATAATAAAGCGAAGTAAAATACGGTAACCGGCTCTGCCAACCCTATTGTTCGTTGTGATCAGCTGATTATAAACAAGTAGAGCGGGAGAAGGTGGACTATGTGGACTAGGTCGGGTTTTAATTCGATGAAAGTGTGCGTCGAACGAACAGGAATGAGGAAACTTGTAGCCAGTTGTAGGGAAATCGCAGATCAACGATGAAGTTGTTCCAAGTAAGGGCGACGACTAGACTAGCGTGTCTTGCGCATATACGACAAAAACGAATACACCAAATGCGAAGTGGGGAAAAATGTCACTTTGCACTCCGATGTCGCCGATACGGCGATACTGAATTATTAATAGCGTAAGATGATCGCGGAAAATGCGCAAACGAGATCGCGAGATCTTTAATTTATTCATTTCTGTAACATTTCACGGCAGTATAATTAAAAATAATAATATAATAATATACATATATATATTTATATATTTTTTTATTGTGTGTATTATATTATTATATTATTATTATATTATATTACTAGCAATAATAGTAATATATTATATTACTACTAATAATAGTAATATATTATATTACTATATAATAATAATAACATAATATATTACTATTATTGCTAGTAATATAATATAATAATAATATAATATTATTAGTAGAGAGAGAGAGAGAGAGAGAGAGAGAGAGTAACATATTATATTACTACTAATAATAGTAATATATTATATTACTAATATTATATAGTAATATAATATATACAATAGTAATAGTAATATAATATATTACTATTATTATATTATATTATTATTACTTATTTTATTATTATCATCATATTATTATTATTAGCATATCAGACAAATTCGAAGCGCAAAGAGATAATTATACAATCTAAAAATATTATTACACCGCTGTCTGCTCATCAGAATGGTTAGCAAGCAACGAAATGTCTACATAAAATTTCTACGTCCTGTAATTAATAAAGACAATCCTCATTTTGCATAAGAATGCGCAGTCTAGCAAACGACGGATGCCGGTCTAGCGGATGGAGTGGTGAAATTAAGTAGATTAAGCCGACTAGGTCAGCCTGCACGATTGCGACTTCCGAGAATACTATTTTAGGCAGATCGTAGACGGATATTGACGATTAGCGAGCGAAGCGGGTTGGTCGAGTAGGCCGGGATCGATTTCAGGATCGACGAAACTTTCTTTTAGACGTATCGCGGCTAGACGCTGGAAATGCGGGGGTCGTTGTGTAGCAGGTGCGAAAGTAAACACTTGTTTAACCTTCGACTGATGGCGTACGTCCATTCGTCTTATCGGACTGCGAAACAAACTATAAGATGTTCGGTCACACCGCTCGAAGCTTAATAGTCGGACGTACGTCAATTTCGCAGATAGAACGGGGTGGTAAATCGACGATCACATTGTTCCAGCTAAGGGCAGTTGACGACGAACGTAGACGGACAGAGTGGATAGATTAAGTAGATTAGGCCGACTGGGTCAGACCGAACGACGAAGAGCATAGATTTATATCGACGATCAACACTATAGATTTTTGTAATATTTATATAGATATTTATTTAGATCTATATAGATCTATATAGATCATAGATTTATATTCACGATCAACATTATAGATTTTTATATAGATTTATGTATAGATCGTAGATCTATATTGACGATCAACATTATAGATTTTTATATAGATATTTATATAGATTTATTGTATAGATCATAGATTTATATTGACGATCAACATTATAGATTTTTATATAGATATTTATATAGATCTATATAGATCGTAGATTTATATTGACGATCAACACTATAGATTTTTATACAGATATTTATATAGATTTATATAGATCATAGATTTATATTGACGATCAACACTATAGATTTTTATATAGATATTTATATAGATCTATATAGATCGTAGATTTATATAGATCATAGATTTATATTGACGAGCAACACTATAGATTTTTATACAGATATTTATATAGATTTATTGTATAGATCATAGATTTATATTGACGATCAACACTATAGATTTTTATATAGATACTTATATAGTTTTATATAGATCATAGATTTATATTAACGATCAACACTAGATTTACAGAACCCGTCAAAATGGCGGGTCACTAATTTCCTAATTTACGATTATTCATATCGTAACTCGCGGCAAATGTTACAATGACACTTGCTAAAAATCGGTATAAATGTCTTATTGTTACTTTTGTAAAATAATATAAAACAGCTGCGTTTTGTGCTCCGTAAATCCAATGTTAACAAATGGAGCGAGTCGGTCGACTCCGTTTTCAGACAAATTATTAATTTCGAATTACAGTAAATTCTCTCTAATTTTTTGTTTCAGCTTGCAAACGAAAATGAACGATTTCGGAATCGTTTTTATAATTGTTGACAATCGGCGACTACAAAAATCTCTGAAATTGTAGCATTGTTGTTTGCAAGCTGATTGGAAAATCGGGGAGAATTGACTGTACTTAGTTATTTACTGAACGGATAGGAAATATGGTTGCATAAAAGCGTCGAGTGACATAATCGACACGAACCACTGCTGCATAGCAGTACATATATAGTGATTTGCGTTTGAACGTACTTACGTAGCGATAAAAATAAATCGTATTAGTGCCTATAAGGTACTAACATTAGCATAGCATGCGCTGGAAAGATACTAATACCTTTTTAAACATTTAATTCTTTTCTTTCCGTGAAATCCAAAAAATCCTCGTTACGTACGCGATTGCTATGAAAATCTTATCGTCGGTATCGCAAATATTAAATATATTTTTAAAAAACCGGATCTTTTCCCCAAATTAACAGTTTCACCGCCATGCCAATAAGCTCGAAAATTGTATAAATTAAATAAAATAAATAATATTAAATTAAATCGATACACTTTTAAAGCAGACTAAAATTGTAAAGTCTTATTACACATTGCTTATTTATTGCTGTCATACTATACGGTCGTCGCAAAAATAATTTCGATCTTCCAAAACAAACCGAAATTACTTTTGCAACAACGCGACACATTCACGCGTTCCACGGATCGATAATACAAGTCCAGAGCATACAACGTCCAAGTCAGCGTGAAAATGAATTTTCAAATCTGTCATTGGTCCGTCATTGATCTGTCATTGGTCTATCATCATCTCCTGTTAAATCGGCCGTATAAATTGACGTTCGCATGGCGCGTAGCTCGTGCGCCGTCCACAATCGGAGGATGTGGTGTCGCATGCGGCAAGGTAAACGCTGTTTACCAGCCGGACGAATGTCAACTTAACAGGTGTAACGGGTCGCTTAAGTAGCTTAAGTAGATTAGGTCGGTTCGGAGAGGCTCTGTTGTGTCGGTGATACCGCGTCGCGAACGCGGGATTCGACGCGTACGCTCTAATCGCTAACGCTCTATTATCTCTTAATCTAAATCTAAATCCGATGCTTTATTTCGTGCGATCCTGCGACCGCGAATGCCGAGTATCGCGTAAGAAATCAGCGACTAGAGAATCTCTTTTATTCCCCCTTCACAGTAATGTCTCCCTCATTGACGCTTAGATTGCGCAGAAAAATGGACAATCTGGGAAGAGGAGATACGATTATTCGAGCTTCGTAGCTTGTTTTTATAGTTACCGATTGATTGCCAACAATTATTCAAACGAGGTGCAATGTTCGAACAATCGTATCTTCTC